TTCAATTGTAATCTTGAAATGTTAGCATAGCAATGTGATGCTTCTACTGCAAAGTTCTTTGTACAACACACTAAACTCTTCTGAGAAAAGTGGGATATACTTCTAAATATATAAAACATCAAGACCCTACTCAGAGTAAGCAGGATTTTAAAAAAATACATATCTCCATGAAGCAAGGCTGCTTTAGTTTCCAGCTCTATGACTAATGTATTCCACAGCACATTGTTTGTGTTCCATAAATTGGAAAGACCCTACAGAAAACAATGACATTTCTGTATTGTTAATGCTTCAATTTCCTCTCCCTGCACTACTGATTCTATTCAGAAACATACCTGTGTTGTGTTAAGCTACTATTAATACAATTTTGGAACTGTTTGTTACTTCAGGATAACCAGCCTCTCCTGTCTAATATACCACCCGATAGGATTGTGGTCCATATTAAATGAGATAATCCATGTAAAGCACTCGGCACAACACATGGCACACAGTAATTGATGATTCATGATTTAAATATTGTCTTGCATTAAAATGTGTATCATAAGAAATGAATTAGATGCTGGAATTATATGACAAGGATTTTAAAGCAGCCATTAGAAAAGAGCTTCAACAAGCAATTATAAATTCTCTTGAAACAAACAATAGGTCATCTCAGCAAAGAAACAGAATTTATTAAAAAAAAAAAAAAAAAACTTTGGAACTGGAAAATATAATAACCAAAAGAAATAACTCACTGAATGGACTCAATAGCAGAGTGGAGATAACGAAGAACAGAGCAAGTAACCTTAAAGATAGATCAATAGAATTTACCCCCTCTGAACATAAGAAAAACTTTAAAAAAAAAAAAAAAACAGCCTCAGGGACCTGCGGAACAATAACAAAAGGGCTATCTTTCTTATTATCAGAGTTCCACAAGGAGAGGAGACAGTAGGACTGAAAAAGTATTTAGAGAAATAATGACTGAAAACTTTCCAAATTTGGTGAAGGACATAAAACTACTGATTCAAAAAGCCAAGCAAATCGCAAATAAATCAAAGAAATCTGTGCCAAAACACGTCATAATGAAACTTGTGAAAACTAAATTTTAAAAAAATTCTTGAAAGTAGCTAGGGAAACATGGCACATTACTCACGGGAAAGCACCAATTCAAATGGCAACAGATTTCTCATTTAAAACAACAGGTCAGATGGAAAGAAAAGAACTGTCAACCACGAATGTCGCATCTGGTGAAAATATCCCTCAAGAATGAAGGGGGAAATAAAGACATTCTCAGCTTCAAAAAAAAAAAAAAACAACCTAAGAGTTTTTCACTTGCAAAACCACCCTTTAAAAGAGTAGCTAAAGGACGTGTTCTAAACAGAAAGGAACAGAAGACAGAAGATAACAGAAGGTGGCTTAGAACTGTAAAAAGGAGAGGGAAACATAGAAATGAATGAAAATAGGTAAATATAACAAATATAATAGATTACCCTTCTTTTTGTGGGTTTCTTAAATAATTTTGATAGTTGGAATAAAAAGTATAATACAAACTGATGTGGTGCTCAATGTATGTAAAGTCAATATTTAAACAATTGTACTTAAAAAGCAAGGAGGGTAGAGGGACCTACATGGAAGTAAGGTTTATACACTTGGCTAGAAGTGGCAAAACATCACAGACATCAGTAGACTGTGATAAGTTACGTAATACATATATTTTAGTTCCTAAAGCAACCAGTGAGAAAACTATATACAGTAAATAAAAAAATGCTATAAACACATCATGTTCAAGTAACTCACAGGAAAGGAAGAAAAGAGAAACAATGGAAATGAAAAATAGGAGAAACAGAAAAGAAAAAATGGCAGACTTAGGGTCTAACATGTCAATAATTACTTTAAATGTGGATGGTATAACCACACCAATTAAAAGACTGGCAGAGCAAAAAAAAGGCCAACCTAAAAGGTTACACATTGTATGGTTCTGTCCATACAATAAGCATAAAATGATAAAATTATAGAGATGAATAACAGATTAGTGGGTAGGTTAGTAGGATGGATAACAGATTAGTAGGTTGCCAGGGATTGGGGCTAGGGAAGGGAGTGGCTGTGACCATGAAGGGGTAGCACGAGGGAACCTTGTGTTGAAACTGTCCAGTATCTTGACCGCAGTAGTGGTTACATGAATCTTCACATAGGATAAAATTGCACAGAACTAAGTACACACATGGTCACATACACAAATGAGTACATGTAATACTGGTGAAATCCGAATAAGGTCTGTAGATTGTATCAATATCGATTTCTGATGTGATATCGTACAAGAGTTATACAAGATGTTACCCTTTGGAAAGTGGGTGAAGGGTATACACAACCTCTGTGTTATTTCTTATAACTGCATGTGAATCTATAGTTATCTCACACAGAAAGTATAAGGTAGGGCCAAGATATCAACCCAAGGGCATAACTTCAGTCCTTTAGCACCATACCAAGCAGAAAGCACCAGAGCTAGAAGGCAAAACAATGGAAAGAGCCCAGAGTTGCAACCCATTTCTCCCACTAATCAGCTTTATGACATTAAACACTCAGGCCACCCTTTGGGTCCACTTCCTCAACTTTAAAATAACTACCTTTTCTTTCCATCTCTTTCCTCAGTTTGAGCAACTCTCATTCCCTAACTTCCTAGTTTTTTTGGTCCATTTCTAGCCTGAGTTTTTGATTTCTGATTAAGGTAGTTTATTGTATCGGCAAATGCTTGTTTAAGGATGCTCAACTCATGATGGAGTATTATGTTATCATTTTCTGCTGTTGAAAATTTTGATTCTTATTTTCTGTTTTCTTCCTACAGTAGCTTTGTATGGATGTTACCTGTCATTTCAATTCATTTTTAGATGTCGCAGATTTTCCTGAATAGCAATAGATATTACTATGGATGGGACGATGTATCTAAGTAGTTTACCAGGTTTTTGCATTTTCTTTCATAAGTGGCACCTTTTTTGGTGGTGGGAAAGAGGAGTAAGTCTCCTGACCTTATGATTGTCTTTGTTTCTCATCACCCATTATTTCCTCTGCTTTGTCCTTCCCCTTCCCCACCAAGCCTTGAAGGGATGCCTCCCCCATCTCTCCCAGAAGCAGCACCACCTAACACTGTCACCTCTGGCCCCATGTACTTTCAAGTCCCTTCCCTTAAATTCCCCCAATCCAGCAGGTCTCAGGTCTCTTTGCACGATCATGAAGGGTGATTTCACCTCCATCCTGCGGTCACTGGGGCTCAGCTGCACGCTCTTCATGCCCCTCAATTCTCCACCTGACTCAGCTCCAGCGTCAACTCCAGAGCCAGCTCTGCTGGCTTCGGACGTTTACTTCCCCCTTATACTTAAGTTCATTGTACTCCCTGTTTCCTAATAATACAGGAGGCCTGGGTTATGCGTGCTTTCATTTGCTCTCCTTTTTTATCCACTTAGTATATGGAGGATGTGTGGAAAGATTTAGATTTAGGTGGCTGCCAACACCCTCCTCACCTGTAAAATGAAATTCCTGGACAGAAAGCTCTAACACTATGTGATTCTGTACCAATGATTCTGAGAACACCAGGTTCTAAGTTAACTAGAGACTTCTCTAAGTAAGAAAGGTGATCTGTAGTGCTTTTCAATACTTTAAAATTAACAAATATTATACCCTATCTATAAGCAAACTCAGAAATGCCTCACCAGGAGCCCCACAGTAATGGAGGTCCTTGGTAGTGAAAATGTTAGGAACCATGACTACGCAATGGCATAATATATAAGATGTTCTCTGAAGGAACATGCCTAAGCCCACCTTTTCCCTGAAAAAGCAAATAAATTCATATAATAACTATACACAATTTTCCCCCGAAATTTAATAGACTATCACGGCTCTAGTCACACCGGTGTGGATTTCCAGCAGGTTATCACAGATACTTTTCATTCCTCTGAGCTAAATGATATATTAAAAGGAAAAAACATACTTCTTATTAATCCATCTATAAAATTGATAAGCTAAGTAATTTGTATGATGCTTAAACTCATTTCTTTTTTTTTTTTATTTCAACATATTATGGGGGTACAGATGTTTAGGTTACATATGTTGCCCTTGCCCCCCCTCCCCCCCTGAGTCCAAGTTTCAAGTGTGTCCATCTCTCAGATGGTACGCATTGCACTTTGTGTACGCATATACCTGTCCCCTTAAACTCATTTCTTATGCATGTTCTTCAAAAGGAATTTTTTAAAAACTCCTTCCTCATAAATTACTTTATTCTCTTTAAGATACAATCCTAGTCCAGAAGCCGATATACTAGTAAAAAAACAAAAAGATACAATGTTCTCATTTTGGTTTTGATTTGCATTTCTCTCCGCAACTAAAGGACACGGGGAGCACCGTAGGGGGGAAGGGCATGCCTTTAACCCCCACTTGGGTGAGGCAAAGACATAAAGTGTAACCATAATGTTTGTACCCTCACAATATCCTGAAATTAAAAAAAAAAAAAAAAAAAATTAAAAAAAAAAAAAAAAAATACAATCTTCAACACAACTTAATTCCCTAACAACTTGGTAATTAGTTTCCTTTTTATTTTCAGAAGTAAACTCCAATTTCAATGATTCTGAAATTATACCTATGCCATTCTTCACTTGAAGAAACAATAAAGAATAACTATTATAAAAACCTATGGTGGCTGTTTTTTTAAATAAAAAAAAGTTTTTAAAGCATTGAGATTAGTTTTTAAAACTTTGCATCAATTTTACCACTGCCAACATGCTTCAGGTTAAAATGCTATTCAAAATAAAGAGAAAACTTTTTGTTCCTTTTCCTGTTTATTTTTTTAAGCTAATTCATTTAATATTTTTAAAGACAACTGGCATGCTCTCCCTAAGGCTCAATCACCTATGGCCCCACTCTACCGCCCCCGCACCCCCCGGCCCCTGGGAATGTTGCATTTCGCCAAGCAGAGCAAGCTCAAGTTAACAACGTGGTTAGCTACAAATCCCGAGGCTCCTGAGTCACCCCCTTACCTCAGACTCCTCTGTAGATTCTTCAAGAGACCCCGTTTCCTACAAAGAATAGAGAAGGGAAATGGTCAGAAGAGATGATAAAAGAGGCAAAAGCATTTGCAAGGGGAAGGCGTCCTCATGTGCCCACCACCAACACCCATTTGCCCTTTTTGGAAAGGAATCTGCAACTATACTTTAGAGGACTCCACAAGCTCTGCCTCTCACGAGCCTCCTACGACTTCACAGGCTGGCAGGCCCGAGACAGTTTACTCTGGGGTCACCCAGATCCATGACCCTGTTGACCTCTGTCAATGAGTCAGCAGGTAAACAAATGACCCCAGGAACTTGTCATCTGAGGGCCCAGAAGACTCTTTCCCTTGCCAATAATGGAAATCCGTCTGGCAAAGCAACCTCACTGGTCTCAGAAGGGAAGAGGAAACTGCCGTTCCAAATTAACTACAAGCCAATTTTTATACTGAAAAGCTCTTACGCTATTAATTACTACGCTATTAAACTGGTTGCGTCAAAAGGACTGTCTTGCTAAAACAGCTTTTAAAAAGAATCTCCCGCAGGTACCTATCAGATCCTGTGCGAATAAGCTGTATAATTTACATGCACTCTTTAAACCATTACCACTAAGACAAATTCTGCCATTTAACACAGTTTCCCTCTTGCTCGACAATGAATCTTGCTGCTCTGAAGGAAACAAAGCAAAAAGGGAAAAACTGACTTGATCCTGCTAATCTCTCACCTGTCCAGTGAAAGAGAGAATCTGCTGATGCCACGTATCCTCAAAGAGGTCAGCAAAATGAAGATTTACTTAACGTACTTATAGATATCAATAGCAATAAAAGGTTACAACTAATATGCTGACACTGAATGTAAGCATTTTTACAACAATCTATGAGAAAAAGAACAAAAAAAATGGGGCAAGAACATTTTAGATTTAACTAATATTTTTTTCAAATAAAAATGACCATTTTAAAAGAGGTCAGATGCATATAGTACTCAATGCGAGTTGGACAGCAGGATAAATGCAAATCTAGTGTTTAAAAACATTTTAATTTCATTCATCAAAAATCATTAAGAGCCTGGTAGGTGGCAGGCACCCTCTGGAGTACAGCCTTGTGGACAACACAGTCCCTGCCCTCCAGCGCCATCTGTAAAATGGGGGTAAATATTACCTGCAATTAAAAATTTTATTATAGTTATATCATTAACCATGATGCATATCAGAATTTGCTCTATATCCCAATGCAGCCTATTTAATTTAATGTTAATCTAAGTCTTAGAAAGTTCTTAGTAATTTGGAGCTACAATTATCCACAGTAATTTTTTGTTCTTAGCACCACATAAAAAACCCGATTCTTCCACTACTTGACAGCTGTTCAGCAAATTAACAGCATGTACCATGCCCATCCTCCTCAAGTGTTCCTTCTCTGCACTCACCATCCCAATTCCTGGTTTTAGTCCCTTTACTATCCCAATCTTTCTCTTGTGGACAGACTCCACGCCAATATTAATAGTCATTATTCAGACTTCTTTACTGAATATCTATTATAAATTGCTCATTATGCTAAATTATTCACCTACAGCACCTTGGAATTTCCTAACCACCTCTGGCGTCAGAACAGTGAGGTTTAGAGGTTGAACTTAATGACTTTTACCATCCCTTCCATCCCTGAAAGTCCCTGAATATTGAGTTACTAACATTAGGAAAACAAGGCTTTGACAACTGTGTCAATAAACCACACCTAGATTCCTATTTCCCATATCTAGAATTCTAAAAAGACATCTGACTACTTTTTTCAGAAGAATTACATTAAACCTAAGGAAATTTTTTTTCTTATCTGGATTACACTCAAATATGCACACAGATTAAATGGGTGAATGCCCGATTTATGTTCTTCACTAAAACAAAAACGTAAGTCCCCAGTCAGCAATTTCAATCCCAAAACTCAAAATCAAATTACACTATTGCTTCACACCGGAATGCATACACCAGAATTTGACACCTTGAGGCACGCAGATCTCAGAGACCTGGGTCTTCAGGGAAAACCAGGTGTTAAGAGCAGCTTCCTTGGCCGCTGGTATCAATGGGGAACATTTACTCCAGGAAACTCTGAGACTTACGGACAGCATCAGTATGAACCTTCCAGACAGAGACAGGCCCCAACAAAACTTAATATTTTCTCCACAATCCTATCAAAACAGTGCGAGAGTGAGTGACTTCAGGAATTAGCCCTGGTCTGTTATTTCTTGACTTCAATCATTCATCAAGCCTTCCAAATAATGTTCTACAGACAGAAAGGTGAACAAGATGACAAAAAGGAAATGTCCCTGGTGAGGGATCTAAGAAAGCCTAACCTTGAGAAAGGTTGCCATTTGAGAAAGAGTCAGTAGTTTTCAAACATTCTTTTAGCTTCACACTCTCATTCCAAGAATCTAACTACAGGCCGGGTGCAGTGGCTCAAGCCTGTTAACCCAGCAACTCAGAGGCCTAGACGGGGGGATCACTTGAGGCCAGAAGTTTGAAACCAGCCTGGGCAACCTAGAGAAACTCTGTCTCTACAAAAAATGAGGAAAATTAGCTGGACAGGGTGGTGTGTGCCTGTCGTCCCAGCTACTTGGGAAGCTGACGCAGGAGGATTGCCTGAGCCCAGGAGTTCAAGGCTACAGTGAGCTATGACCATGCCACTGTACTGCAGCCTGGGCAACAGAGCAAGATCCTGTCTCTAAAAAAAGAAAAAAAGGAATCTCACTTCAACTCATGAAAAAAACAAGATATAAAATTGTGCTATTCTCTTAAGTAAAATAAACCAGAAACAAAAAGACAAATATTATATTATTCCATGATTCCATTTATGTAAGAGAGAAGTAAAATAGGTTACCAAAGGCAGAGGGAGGGGTTTTCAGTTTGTGAAGATAAAAAGTTATAGAGATGGACAGTGGTTGTCTTAATCCATTCGTGCTGCTGTGGAGGAATATTTGAGGCTGGGTAATTCATGAAGAGGTCTTTTTGGCTCACGATTCCACAGGCTGTACAAGAAGCATGTTGTCAGCATCTGCTTCTGGTGAGAGCCTCAGGCTGCTTCCACTCACAGCAGAAGCAAAGGGGAGCCAGTGTGTGCAGAGATCTCATGACAAGAGAGGAAGCAAGAGAGAGCAAGAGGGGAGGTGCCAGGTGCTTTTTACAACCAGCTCTCAAGGGAACTAATAGAGTGAGAACTCACTCATTACCTCAAGGACAGCACCAAGCTATTCATAACAGAGCTGCCACCATGACCAAAACACCTCCAGGAAGGACCCACCTTCAACACTGGGGATCAGATTTCAACCTGAGATTTGAAGGGACAAACATCCAAACTATAGCAGTGCTTATGGTCGCACAACAATGTGAATGTATTTAATACCATTAAATCATGCACTTAAAAATGGTTAAAATGATAATTTTATGCCATGTATATTTTACCACAATAAATAAAATGTGCTATTCTGATTAATGCAGCAGCGATGGGCTAGAAGACACCCAGTGACACAAATGTGAACAGATTGTGGGTGACAGGTTGATAGCTAAACTCACAAAGGTGTCACTCGACTTTTCTTTTGCAAACCAATCCCTTAAACTCAATCATCTAGCCAAATAGCTTTACCTAACCATTTTCATGTCTTGATATGTAACTTCTCTAATATATTCGTCAACTGCCATCAGGATTATCTTCCCAAAGCACAGATCAGACTGGTTGCTGCCCTCCTCAAAGAACCCTCAGTAGTCCCCCAGCCTGAAGAAAAGATTTCAGATTCTCCAGCACAGTAGTCAAAGCCCTTCCTAGTCTGGCCCCCAACAGATCTTTGACCTCACTTTCCACTCTCTCCATAAACCTACAACCCACCAGTCACATTGAAGGACCCCTCACTGAGACATCGCGTGTTCATGTCTCTTTGCCAGAGATGGCGAAACAGTGGCCTGGGGTCTGGATATGGCCTACAGGTGTTTTTTAAAAGACTTCCACATAAAAAAGTGTGCTTACGAATTCATAAAATTCAGACCGTATGTCTACACACTGTTCACAATTCCATAGAACGTCAGCTGGAGCTGTGCAGTTATGCCTAGGACAGAACACCCACCGACACCACTCCCAATTTCCTGCACCAAGACACTCCCACTCATGCATATTGCCCCCTGCCAGCCTCAAGTTTGTGCTGCCTGCTCTGAGCCTGTCCTCACGTCCTCCTCTCAGCTTAGAAGGTACCCGGCCCACTCTGCACTCATCCTGGTGGAATGCTCTACAGCTGCGGTCCCCAACCCCCGGGATGCAGCCCAGTACAGGCCCATGGCCTGTTAGGAACAGGCCGTGCATCACCACCTGACTCTGCCTCTACCCCCACCCTGCCCCGTCTGTGGAAAAATTGTCTTCCATGAAACCAGTCCCTGGTGCCAAAAAGGTTGGGGACCACTGCTCTACAGGCTCAGTGGAACCCTCGGGGGTAGGAAGGGGACTGCCAGGCAGGCAGGCTTAGGGACTTCAGTCTTGCTTCACGATCAGAGCTTGATTTTTATGTTTTATATTCTCACAGTGCCAATCTGAAGTTTGAAGTTTGAAAATCACAGGCTATTTCTGAATCCTGTCCTTTCTGAATGGCCCAACCTAGGTCTCACCTCCTTCACAAAACTATTTCTAGTGAGCCCAGGCTACAAGGTCTAGACCTGGCCTCCTGTGGCCTTTGTTTCTCCCCGTAATCCCCAGCTAGCACCTAATATTGCCTTGTCCTATTAGTTATCATTGTAAATACACTGTGGGTAAACCCAAAGGCTTTGGCCTCTTGGTCTCCCTTATCCTACCCACAGAAATACAATAGCTCAACATGTGTTTGCTGGTGATGATGATAAGAAATAAGCAGCCAATCTAAAACAATATTCTGCTTCCTCTATTCCCTTGGCATTTATGAGCAATACCCAGTGTATTTTCCCCAGACAGATGCTTGTACTATTGGCTCATGCTACGAGATAGTTACAGAAGGGGGATTGCAGGAAGGCAGCAGCAAACAAGGACAGAACC